GAAGACCGAGTACCCGGTAGGTCCAAACGAGACTTACATTAGGCACCTTACTTCAGTCTGGGTAGATGTGGGCTTAGTGGACGTGCCACACTTACCTGGCCTGGTTCTATCGTGATGGGTTGGAGCTAGTAGGCCCAATCCGGGGTTTTGAGGGACAACAACACGGTAACGAGGATGCCGTCGATTGGGAGCCCGAGGACATGTATGCTCCTTACGATGAGACTCAAGACACCGAAGAGCCCTCGGAGAACCTTGGTCCCGAACCCGAGCCCGTACCAGAACCGGTAGCGCCTACGGATCCCGAGCTCGAGGAGGAATTTGAAGAGCCCGAGCCTGAGCTAGAGCCCGTGCCAGAGCCCTTGGAGTCCGAGCACGAGGAAGAGCCGATCGAGATCAACTTTGACACGGAGTCGGAGTCTTCAGGGTCCGATTTAGATTGGGCACCGTAGAAGCGTTTGGGTGCCGGGCTTAGAAGCTTTTTGGTAGAGCCCTTTTTGTGCAGCTATCTAGCTTACCCTGCCACCTGTCCCTTTTTGATGATGATGGTGGATGTAACCCTAGGAGCCTAATGTCTGACTGATTTCCATTATTATGAAATTATTATTTTGTGCTATCCTTCTGTCATTATCTTTTGTCTGGGTTGTTTTTATTTCGCTTCCGCTTGTGTATTTATGTGGGCATCTCGTTTGGGTCGGCGACGCGTCCTCGGACGTTGCGTTCGATACGACCGCCGTAGGGGTGTCGCGAGCCTGTTAGGGTCCGGGGCGTGACACCCGCAGTTGATTTGTTATCAGAGCAAGGTCAGCTCAATTTAAGTTAGTTGAAGCCTAGAGTGATAAGGAGCGATGACTTTGGGGTAGCCAGTTAGGGAGACTCGTGTGCCATGCGTACCCCAGACTGTGTGATTGTGGTTGCTGAGTGATCTTATGCATTAATGTGCGAAGTGCAGGTGCGTCAGGATTTGAGGTAAGTGCACGAACCTTGTTGACTGCGATTGAGTGCTGTTTGTGATTGGCTATGTCACGCCTCGAACCCTATCGAGCTCGCGACATCCCTCTTTGATCAAATTAGTGCGACGTCCCAGGAAAAACGTCGCCGACCCAAACGATCACATCAGAGTTTGCACACGGCGAAAACCAGAACATAAACCCTGATAGTAAAATCATGGGGTAATAGGGAGAGATAATTCACCAAGCCACCAAACATAACATTACACATCCATTAGTCACTTCTAGCAGTCACCAAATTTACATCAACCTATAATACACATACAAACTCGCTTCTCCGGGTCACGTCATCAACTCCAAAAAGGTTAGTAGTCTGGGTATATTCTATTTCCAAAATGGGACACTTCAAAAAGCTTGGCTACCCCTAGTCTAGCCCCTACGCCCTGTAGACGGCGTCCATTCCGATTCGATCTCCCCAGAATCCAAATATGAATCCTCCTCAGGCACGTGCTCCTCTGAAGACTCGGAGTCTGCCTCGATCTCGATCGGGTTATCCTCATTCCCCGACTCTAATGGCATCTCAATCCGTTCCTCGGATTCAGACTCTTCCTGCAAATTTTCCTTATGCTCCTTCCCTGGTTCTTCCTCTGGCTCTACCCCTAAGTCTACCCAGACTTCGGTCGTATGTTTGATCCAAGCCAAATTGTCGTCTACCGAATACTCTACAACTGAATGCTTGGTGTGCATTGGTATACCAAAACGCTGCGGCGGCGGCGGTAGTAGATTCATGGCTCAGGGCGAGGTTCTGAAATAATTTGGTTAAACAACCATGAGATAACTCTCAATAAGTTGACAGCCTAAACCCCACTTAAGCTACCACGTATCTCCAGACAAGTCCAAACAAACAATCATTCAACACATACGAATCACGCACAAAATTGCACTTACCTGGGCACAACCTGAACATTAGTCTCAAATACACGAAATTCAAACCACATACGCATTCCAAGCCATTCTCATGCCCAACAGCACATGTCGTACACACAACAATTCCGAACCCCACATTTCACACTCATTCATGCACTATCACACCATTTTAATTTTCCATCTCTTTCCTCGGCCCGCGTAAACACGCCTCAGGCCCCACATTCCTATCGCGACCCGCGTAAACACGCCTCAGGCCCGATCTCACTTTCCACTTGCCACATCACACAATCCTATCGCGACTCGCGTAAACACGCCTCAGGCCCGATCACATTCTCACTTGCCACATCACACATTCTTATCGCAACCCGCGTAAACACGCCTCAGGCCCGATCACATTCTCACTTATCACATCACACTTTTCACTTTCAATTTCTTTCCACGGCCTGCGTAAACACGCCTCAGGCTCAACATTCGTATCACGACCCGCGTAAACACGCCTCAGGCCGGTTCAATTCCCCGCGTAAACACGCCTCAGGGATTAAGTGATCACGCGAACATGCCAACACGCCATATTTTATCTGTACCCCGTGTAAACATGCCTCAGGGCTTTTTAGTGATCATACGCACATCACACGCCTCAAAATCTCACACGTTCACATACTCGAACATTAATTAAATGCACCCAATTCAATCATTTCAATTCAGCCCCTAGAACATCCAAACACACATTCAGGCATCAATTCCAGTCACAAGGGCAGCAACTATTCAATCTCGACACCCCCACCATTCCGCTCATAAAACTGAACATCCATAGAATCAGGGTAAATCTGGGCAGTTTACACAGTGACCGAAATCCCATCAAAATAAATAGTAAACGAACTCCAAAAATTCTAAATTTTGGATATATCATAAAAAAATATCTTGATAAACATTTTTTATGAAGAACACGAAATCCGGTTCAATCTGCAACCATGCCTTTTTGTCCCTCGAAATCAGACCAAAATCAGTTCGCTCTAACGGACTATTTTGTCCTCAAAATACATTTCTTTCAACACCCAAATCACCTTGAAAAGCTTTGAAATTTTTATATGTCATAGAAAAGAAAGTCGCCAACAACTTTTGTGAAAGAAGTTTATTAAAAATAGATCTGGAAAATTTTATAAAAATTCGGCAAGACAAGAAGGTCGGGATGAACAGTGTTCCGGGTAGTTTTAAGACGGTCTGAAAATGGGTTTTCGTGCGACCCAAATGGCCTCCAAAAATTCCAAATTTAAAATATGTTATATTTCAAGATGTTGGGAGCAACTTTCATGAAGATCAAATTTGGCCAACAAAATTCTCCAAAAAAAATAGTAAATCGGATGGGTACAGTAGTCACGAATCCGAGTTTTGAATTAAACAACCAAGATTCAAGTTCTAGCTCACACCCATGGATCTCCAACCCACAAAACTCATTCCCAGATGTCTAATCCAACATGCAACAGCCACTAACAGCCGTGATCAGCCACCAACAACCACGATCAGCACCCTAATCAACCCCTAAACTACCCTAAATCACGTCTAAACGAGTCCGTTAATACCCGATATCCTAAATAGGGTTTAGATTGTAACTTACTTGAAATTTCCAAGCAAGCACAACCTATCCAAGGGCGACAAGGCGGCTGGAATGTGGCGGCTACGGCGGTCCGGCTGAACGGCGGCGATCGGCTACGGCGGCGGTGGCTTGCTTAGCCGGCTAGTCACGTCCAAGGGAGGGAGAGAGAGATCGCCGAGAGGGAGAGAGAGAGAGTGTGAGCCGTGAGAGAGAGAGAGGGAGAGAGAGAAAATGGTTTATATACTCCAATAATTGTCCCCCTTTTTGCAAAATGACCATCTTGCCCCTCTCTCTACTTTTCAATCGACGGCCACGATTCGTTCTTATCTTGAGATCAATGGCCGAGATCGAATCTTTTCAAAAAATATCCAAGGGTAAAATGGGAATTTTTCAAAAAGTCCAAGGGCAAAATTGTCCAAAAATTGCCATTTCTAAAGTGAGGGTGAAATGACCAAAATGCCCTTCCCCATTTACACTTGGCCTTAACAAAGTCTCAAGGGTAAAACGGTCATTTTCCATTTCTCGGACGATTCTAAGGCTGAACATGCTAATAACAACGTCGTCCAAATGATCTGTCGTAACTTTCTAAATTTCCAATGCCCAACTTGGTCTCTAATTAATGACTAAATTTTAAATAACGTAACTTGAGCGTATCTCAGACTAACGGGTGGCTTTTGGGGAAATTCGCACTTTTGACCCGTGGCCGATACTGAATCAAGCCGCGTTCAAGTTCACTCGGGTCGTGACGACCTCGGTTGTCACTTAATTGCGAGGATCGATCGCTAGTTCCGACGGGCACGATCGTTCGGTATAGTTTTAGGGTCATTCGTCAGTTCATCTCGTGGTCAAGCGGAATCACCTGCGATCCACTATTATGACAGTGGCGAACTGATCCCTAACTATTCTTGGATCGGCCTGCATTGGCTCAAAATGTCACCTCGACAATTCTATGGTCGAAAGTCAGTTCACGATCGAGTTTCTTTGGTCTCGCGAATTTAAATCCCCAATTAGCCTTTCCCTAACGGTTAGTATCCCAGGAATGATCAGTTCCGGACGAGATCTAACTACAAGTACGTTCATAAAATCATTCATTTCATAAATTCCAAGTGGGCAAAATTTCAGAATGTCACAGGCTACCTGCTTGGTGAATTGTTGTTGTGATTCATTGCCTAGGGCTTTAGATTGGTATAGTTGGCCTAGGTCTTTAATTTCTGAGTGGAATTATAGCAGGTAGGCGAGTGTGAGATCCCATGAGAATGAGTAGCCGAGGAAGAGGTCGAGGTCGAGGTCGAGGTCGCGTGGCTTCGCAAGCTGGAGTTGTGGAGGATCCCCGGGTGGATGGAATTCTGAGGGCACTACAAGAAGTCGGGATTTTAATGGGTAGATAGACTGAAGAGCGGAATGCTACTGTCGCTGCTACTGCTGAGGTTGCTGTTGCCGCTGCCAACGAAGCCAATGGGAATAATGGAAACAATAGGAACCACGAGAATAGTGGGCACCCCGCTCAGGGCCAAGTGCAGGCAAACAGGCCGATGTCTAAGCTAGTTGAGCAGTTTTTGAAGTTGAAACCTCCGAGGTTTGATGGTAGAGTTAATACTGAGGCTGCACCTCGATGGGTGGAAGAGCTAGAAAAAGCTTTCGAAGTCCTGGGATGCACTGAAGAGGAAAAAGTAACCCTAGTAGTATATCAGCTTCAGGAAAATGCAAGCGACTGGTGGAGAGCCACAAGAGGCCAAGTGTTCCCTGCTGGTACTGCTCCGACTTGGACTGTCTTTACTGAGACTTTTAACGGTAAGTATTTCTCGAAAAGTGCCCGAGAGTAGAAGCTGGCAGAATTCATGAGACTTTGCCAGGGTCAGACATTGGTAGACCAATATGAGCCCGAGTTCGCAAGGCTGTCCAAGTTTGCCCCAAGAATGGTAGAGGATCCAGTGGACAAGGCCAAGAGGTTCCGAGATGGACTGAAGCCGGTCCTCCGCAATCAGATGATCTCACTGAACTTGAGAGGATATCATGAGATTTATGACCGGGCTCAAGCAATTGAGCGTGATTTGATGGATCGGGCTGTCGCCTCTGGATCGTGGCAGGCCCCGGCTTGGGACAACCGTCGTTTTAGGAAGAGACCTATGACGGGAAATAATCATTTTGTCTCTCCTATACAAAGAAATATCGGGAAGTCTAATCGCTTTCAGAACACCCCGTGTAGGTTATGTGGAGGGAGACATGGGAATGGACCTTGCCCAAATAGGGGAGGAGCGTGTTTTCAATGTGGCGAAAGGGGCCATCAGATGAAGGACTGTCCCAACAACAGGCAGGCTAAGTTGCTTGCACTCTTGCCACCACCGCCCCGGAATGAAAATCAATTTGAAGCTATCCTGCCGGCTAATCAGAATAGGCCGCCGGCCCAAGGATGAATATATGCAATGGCGAGGAGGGAAGCTGAGGACGCGCCTGGCATGGTCACAGGTACGGTCTCTCTTTGTGATCATGCTGCATATGTTTTATTTGATCAAGGGGCGTCGCATTCATTTATATCTGAATAATTCGTTAAATTATCTGGAGTTGAGCCGAAACCACTTGAAGTTATGCTGTGTGTGACTATCCCGTTGAATGATAAAGTGCTGATTGCGTTTGGATGCCCTAATTGTAAGATAGCGATTGGTGATAGGGAAGAAAGGATAGATTTGGCGGTTTTAGCTATGTATGACTTTGATGTGATTGTCGGTATGGACTGGTTAGTTAAACAGAAAGCTGTAATGGACTGTAGTAACAGAGTGATCCAATTTAATCCGGTTGGACATCCTAGATTCGAATTTGTGGAAAACCAAGGGGGAACCTCGATCCCTTGGATCTCGTCACTTGAGGTGACTAAGTTGTTAGACGAAGGGTGCCAAGGATTTCTTGCGAATGTAGTTGATTCGATGGCGCCGAGGCTAGAAGACATAGCCGTGGTGTGCAATTTCCCCGATGTCTTTCCTCATGAATTGCCGGGATTGCCACCTGATAGAGAATTGGAGTTTGTGGTCGAGTTGGCCCTCGATACGAAACCGATCTCGAAAGCGTCCTATAGGATGTCGTTGTCAGAATTGAAGGAATTGAAAGTTCAGATGCAAGAGCTACCGGATAAGGGCTTTATTTGCCCGAGTACGTCTCCATGGGGAGCGCCAGTGTTATTCGTGAGAAAGAAGGATGGGTATTTGAGGTTGTGCATTGACTATAGACAGTTAAATCAGGTGACCATTAAGAATAAGTATCCACTACCAAGGATAGACGACCTGTTTGATTAGCTGCAAGGAGCATCGATATTTTCTAAGATCAACTTGAGGACAGGTTACCATCAACTGAGGATTAAGAAAGAGGATATATCAAAAACGGCATTTTGGACGAGGTATGGGCACTATGAGTTTACAGTAATGCCGTTCGGATTGACTAACGCCCCTACAGCCTTCATGGATTTGATGAATCGGGTGTTCAAGGAATTCCTGGATCAGTTTGTAATCGTGTTTATAGACGATATCTTGGTATACTCACAGAGTTCCGCCGAGCACGAGTTACATTTGGAAAAAGTTCTACGGACTTTAAGGGAACATGCACTTTATGCTAAGTTCAGTAAGTGCGAATTCTGGCTTCATCGAGTGGCGTTCTTAGGACATGTGGTATCCGAGAAAGGAATTGCAGTGGATCCGACGAAGATTGAAGCCATCACGAATTGGCCGAGACCAACAACAGTAACCGAGGTTCGGAGCTTCTTAGGTCTAGCAGGTTATGACAGACACTTCGTGGAATGGTTTTCGGCATTAGCGATACCGTTGACGCGGTTACTAAAGAAGGAGACAAGGTTTGAATAAACGGATACGTGTGAAAGGAGTTTCCAAGAGTTAAAGCAGAGGTTGACGACTGCGCCAGTGTTGACAATCCCGTCAGGTCCAAGAGGATATGAGATCTACAGTGATGCGTCACTAAGGGGATTGGGATGCGTGCTAATGCAACACGGAAGAGTAGTGGCATACGCATCGCGACAATTGAGACCGCATGAGCTGAATTATTCGACTCACGACTTGGAACTGGCCGTGATTATCTTCGCTCTTAAGATTTGGAGGCACTACTTGTATGGGGAGAAATTTCAGATTTATACGGACCGTCAAAGTTTAAGGTACTTGTTCTCCCAAAAGGAATTGAACATGAGACAACGTCGTTAGATGGAACTCCTCAAGAACTATGACTGCGATATTCTGTATCACCCTAGAAAAGCTAATAAAGTAGCGGATGCACTGAGCTGGAAATCAAGCATCGCGCATATGATGGTCAAGGAATGGACTCTGTTGGAGGGAGTTCAGGATTCGGAGTTTAAGTTGGAAGTGAGTCATGTCTCAAGTTTGCTTGCAGCATTGAGGATTGAACCGGAAATCCAGACTAAGATTAAGGCTTTACAATCGACGGACCCGGAGATTAAGAAGATTCTGAAAATGGATGTCACAAAAAGGAAATCGGACTTTCAGATACCCGAGGATAGGATTCTGAAGTTCCGCGGACGGTTGTGTGTGCCCGGTGATGCAGAACTAAAGGAAGAAATTTTGTCAGAAGCCCACCGTAGCAATTACAGTATTCACCCGGATAGTACGAAGATGTATCAGAACTTGCGACGGTATTATTGATGGAACGGCATGAAAGTGGATGTAGCCAAGCACGTGGCTAAATGTTTAACATGCCAACAAGTGAAGGCGCAACATTGCAAACCGGGTGGAATGTTGCAACCATTAGAAATCCCTGAGTGGAAATGGGAACACGTCACGATGGACTTTGTAATGGGATTATTGAGGAGCCAGAGGGGTCAAAATTCAATTTAGGTGGTAGTCGATCGATTGACAAAGTCAGCACATTTTCTGCCGGTGCGAAAGAACTTCGCCTTGGAAAGGTATGCCGAGATATACGTGCGACAAATAGTCCGTCTGCACGGAGTGCCAGTGACGATTACTTCAGACCATAATCCTAAGTTTACTGCCGCTTTTTGAAAAAGTCTTCATATGGCATTAGGAACGAAGTTACAGTTTAGCACGGCCTATCATCCCCAAACGGATGGCCAGTCTAAAAGGACGATTCAGACCTTGGAAGATATGCTACGGGCATGTGTATTGGATTTTAAGGGTAGTTGGGAGGAACAGTTGTATATGGTTGAGTTTGCCTACAACAATAGCTATCAACAGAGTATCAAAATGGCACCATTTGAAACGCTGTATAGCAGAGCTTGCAGAACACCAGTTTATTGGGATGAAGTTGGTGAGAGGAGCACCACGGGTCCAGAGTTAGTTCAACAGTCAGTCGAAACAGTCAAGGTGATTCAGGATAGGCTTAAGACCGCTCAGAGCCGCTAAAAGAATTATGCAGACCAAAGACGTAGGCCTTTGGAATTTCAAGTGGGGGACCACGTTTTCCTCAAAGTATCGCCGATGAGAGGATTGTCACGGTTTGGCAAGAAAGAGAAGTTGAGCCTGAGGGACGTGAGCCCATTCGAGATCTTAGAGAGAATTGGTATTTTGGCCTATCGTCTCGCACTACCGCCGAATTTGTCCCAAGTTCACAATGTGTTTCACGTGTTTATGTTAAGGAAATACGAACCGGATTCAACCCACGTGCTGAATTATGAAGAAATAGATGTGGACGACAGAGTGTCGTACGTGGAAAAGCCAGTAAGGATCGAGGACAAAATGGAACGAGTGTTGCGGAATAAGACAATTGTGATGGTCAAAGTAATTTGGGAGCATCATGGAACTGAAGGTGCGACATGAGAAAGCGAAGAGTTGATGCGACATCAATACCACCATTTGTTCAAATAATTGGATTGAGTTGTAAATTTCGAGGACTAAATTTTTGTAATGAGGGAAGAATTGTGATATTCCGAATTTCAACTCAGTTTTGGGATTTATAAAGCGTGTATTTCGTCAGTGTGCTTATAGTAAAATCTCGTCCGGAATTGATCACTTTTGGGTTATTTTTTTAATTTGAGATTTCGCTAGAATCGCACTCGATCGAATTTGGCCGTTATTTAGAGCCCGAAATTTGGTGTCGAATTTCTCGGAGTTTCGTGATAAATTTAATTAGACGGTGTTGATATTATTGTGGCCAACGTCGATATTGCCCGGGATTGGTGAAAAGTAAAATTTGGACCGGGTGCAGATTTGGACTAGTAGACCTCCATCTTAGTGTATTTTAGTTAGTGTTTTTTGCCCTTTTTCCTAATTTTATAATTAGGGTTTTTCGTGGACCGTCGGATCGATTTCGGGTTTGAACGTAGGCCGTTGGATCGCACTCGATGGGGTTGACTTTTCCCTCTCTCTCTCTCTCTCTCCCCTTTGCCGCGCATCCCTTCCCCCCTGCCCCATGCACGTCCCCTCCCCCCCTCACGCTAACGTCCCCTCTCTCTCTCTCCTCCTTCTTTTCTTCTTCCTTTTTCTTTCTCCTTTCTTCTTCCTCTCTTCTTCTTCTCGGCCAGGCTCCTGCTTTTTGCTTCTTGCTGCTCATCGCCCGACCGCTGCTCACCCAGTTGCAGCTTGCCGCCCGCCTTACGCCGTCGCTTGCCCACGATTGCCGCGCCGCCGCCGGCCGCGCCATCGCCGCCGCGACCCCCTCTCTCCGTCCCCTTCCCCTATTTTTCCTTCGCCTCGACTCTCCCCTGTTCCGCCTCGCCCACGATCGCCGCGCGCCACCGTTTCGGACGCTATTGCCCCCATCGGCTCGCCGCCACCACCCCAGCTTTCCCCTCCCCAAGCCGCCGTCGCCCCTGCTGCTTCGGCGACGACGCGGCTGCCTATACTTCGCCCCCTGTTCCAACCGAGCCTGTCGCCATCGCCGGCCAGCAGCCGCTCGTCCCGTTGCCATCGTCGCCGTGCAGCCTAGCTCGCCGGCCGTTCTACTGCTCGCTTGGCCTTGCCTGTCGCCACCGTCTTCGCCGCCGCCGTCACTCGTCGCCACTGCCGTGCTGCCAAGCTAGCCGGCCGGCTCGCTCACCAGCCAGCCAGGCCACTCGCCCAGCTCGCCTGGCCGCTCGCCCAGCTCGCCTGGCCGCTCGCCGACCGCCTGGCCGCTCGCCGACCGCCTGTCCGGGCCGTGACCGAGCATGCCTGGCCGTGACCGAGCATGCATGGCCGTCCCTGTTGTGGCCAGACTGCCCCGGCCGTGGCCGAGCCCGTCGCCTGCGCACCTGGCTGCCGTCCCGACCGTGGCCGAGCCCGCCCAGTCGCTCGCCCGTCGTGCCCAATTGTTGCCCGTTCGCCTGACCGAGCGCCTCGCCCTTGGCCGAGATTCCCGGGCCGTGGCCGAGGATAGTGCTGAGGCCTTGCCCGTTGGCCGGCCGCTGCGCCCTTGCCCGCGCCGAGCCGCCACTGCCCTGATCGGGCCATTTTGGTCCCTTGTCGAT